TGTTGTTAGGATTGTATTTCACTGACAATTTTTAATGGGGGACGTTAGTTAAAATACTAATTTAGAAACATCTGGATATCCTTTTTGCCCCTCATTTCTTATATGATATCTTAGACCTCCCATTTGGGATCACTTGCCTTCTGCTTGAAGGTCCGTATAGAATTTATTAGTGAGGGTGTTGGAGAAATTTTTGCTTAAAAGTTTTTTTTATCTTCATACCTAAAGGTTGTTTTTGTTGGGTGTAATATACTAAAAATCATTGCCTGGCTAGCGAAACTTACTGGTTGAGCTTCCACCCATGAATCAAGAGGTAGGTTACTGGTTGGATTTCCAGTCAGAACACATACCCAGTTTGCTGGCTCCATCCCCAGTAAGTGGTGTGGAGGAGGCGGTCGATCAATGATTCTCATCATTGATGGTTCTATCTCTTCTGCTCCCTCTCTGAAATAAATAAAAAATACATATATTTAAAATTCTTTGTTATTTTCAGCATTTTAAGCACAACAGCACATTCTGTTGTCTTGGTATTACTCTAAAGAGCTGTCCTATTTATCCTGATCGGGATTTGTTAGGACTATCAATCATTAGTTCTGAAAAAATTTTTGCTCTTAATTTCTTTAAATATTCTGCCCATTCTCTCCTCTATTCCTAGTACTTGTGTTAAATCTCAAATCTAACTTGTGTTGCTTTATTGTATCCCAAAATGCATTTGAACTATAGTGTTTTCTATCCTTTAGTTTCTGCCATATTTTAGAAGATTGCTTCCAGCTCACTTAATTCTCTCTCTAGCTGTGTTTAGTCTACTGTTAAATCTACCAATTTTTTTTTCTAGAAGTTCTGTTTATTTGCCAAATTAGCTATATTAGTCACCTTTAATAGATGACTTTCTTATAAATAACAGATGCGGACATTGTATTTTCATACACAGGTTAACATGTTTTTGTTTTTTGTCTATGTTAATAATTATACATTTGTAGCCTTCTTGACAATATTTAAATCTTTAGACACTAGTTTCTGTTGTATTCTTTTCTATTGCCCCTATTGGTCTTAAAAATTACTTTAATGAATTATTTCAGGTCTAGGATGAAGGTGCCTTTTGCTTATATTTGGATATGCTGTCACAAACCACTTAAAGCTCATAGTTTGAGGTTTTGAGGGCAACACTGGTGAAATGAATTTGGGCTTTTATCCAGGAGAACTGGTTTATTATCCCTGAGAATTTAGCACTTTGAGGTTACTGCTTAATTGGGGAGGGTTGTCATAAAGATTGTTCAACTTGAAAAGGTTCAGAACTTTTTATTTCACCCTACAATAGTTTAAATTTGTGGTCAGCAGTTGCCCTCATGCCAAAAGGGATTTCCTTCTACTTTATGCTTCCTCTTTTGCCTTTTTGGGGGGATTAGGAATTCCTTACTATCTTATTAGTACTTTCTTTGCCTTTAGGATTTTAACAAATAATTGTTTTCTTTTTTAAATATTTTTTTTTATTGATATCAAGAGAGGAAGGAAGAGAGAGAGAGAGAGATTGAAAACATTAATAATGAGACTCCTTCTCACCGGTTTGGCTCAGTGGATAGAGTGTCCTCTCTGTAAAAAAGTCAATAAAATTATTTTTTAAAAAATAATGAGGATCATTGATGGCTGCCTCCTGCACACCAACTACTGGGAATTGAGCCCAAAACTCAGGCTGGTGTCCTTAACTTGAATCAATCTGGGACTCTTTATTTCCCAGGCCAGTGCTCTATCCACTGAGCCAAACCAACCAGGGCAACAAATATTGTTTTTCATTGGTATAATTGATTGCATGATCTAACTTATCGCTACCAGGAATGTAAATTCTTTAGTTTTCTTAGAAAGCATTTTCATGTGGGATTAATAAAATTCTCTTGATTTTAATAAAGATGGTCTATTTCAGAAGCTATGTTTCTTGTTTAGAATGGATTTTTGTGTCTGTTCCATCAGACCTGATGATGCTGAATCTCTTTAAAAAAAAAATAAACTGTTTGTAATTTTAGATTTACAGAGGAGTTGTAGAGGTAGTTCAGAGAATTCTTAAATACCCCTCAATCAGTTTCCCCTAATGTTAACATTTTACGTTACAGTGGTATATATATTTGTCAGAACTAAAGGAATCTTTTAATTGTCATTCCATCTAATTAAGTCTTTTACATGAATTTACTTCTTAATATATATCCAAAGAGGAAATTATTTTTATTTAATTCTGTAGATGATTAAATAAGGCGAGTTTTTTTCCTGAGTTGCTGCAAAGTTGATGTCAACCCAAGTGATCTGACTTCAAAATTAAGCCTACTTTAAAAAACAAAGTGTGGCCCTAGCTGGTTTGACTCAGCCTGCAGACCAAAGGATTCTGGGTTCAACTCTATTAAGGGTACCTTGGTTGCAGGCTCCTCCCTGGCCCAGTGCCCTAGACAGACCTTGGTTGGGGCTCATACAGGAGGCAACCAATTGATGTTTCTCTTTCATCGATGTTTCTCTTCCTCTCCCACTCTCCCTAAAAATCAATGGAAAAATATATTCGGATGAGGATTAACAAAACAAAACAAAAAACCTCCAAAAAGTGTACAACTAAGAAACTTAATTTATTCAGAAAGGACAGATTGGTGAACGCATCTCTGAAGACATTCTGTTCTGTCTTGAATCTTTTTAATAAAGAATCAAAAGAAATTTGTGAGAGTTTGAATTCTAAGTGTAATACCATAAATTGGACACAGGGTTAGCAGTGTAGGTGTAATATTACTCTAAATATTAGGTCTTGGCTGCTAAAATCAGTAACTCTTCTTAACACTTTAATAAGTGTATGAAGCATGTTGGTATAAGGAATCATATCTTACATCATTTTGTGAATGAAAGACTTAAGGTTTTAACTTTTTTAAAAAAAATGATTTTTTAAAATATATTTTATTTTATTTTATTTTATTTATTTTTTTTTATAGAGAGGAAGAGAAAGGGATAGAGAGCTAGAAACGTTGATGAGAGAAACATCGACCAGCTGCCTCCTGCACATCCCCCACCGGGGATGTGCCCGCAACCAATGTACATGCCCTTGACTGGAATCGAACCTGGGACCTTTCAGTCCACAGGCTGATGCTCTATCCACTGAGCCAAACCGGTTTCGGCTAAGGTTTTAACTTTTTAAAGATAAAAACTTCATTTTAATTGGGGGGGGGGGGGTTTCTAAGCTTGGTTAAAAACATTTTTTAAAAAAAAAATATATTTTATTGATTTTTTACAGAGAGGAGGAGAGAGGGATAGAGAGCCAGAAACATCGATGAGAGAGAAACATCGACCAGCTGCCTCCTGCACACCCCCCACCTGGGATGTGCCCGCAACCAACGTACATGCCCTTGACCGGAATCGAACCTGGGACCTTTCAGTCCACAGACCGACGCTCTACCACTGAGCCAAACCGGTTTCGGCTAAAAACATTTTTTTAAATCTGTATTATCAGTTGGCATTCAGCCATTTTTCTGCCTGACTGTAACACTTTATCTTAAGTTTTAGTTTTCTAGAAGCAGGGTTTCTAAATTTGTTTTTTGGTAAATTTTCACCTGAAGATATTTTACCATTGATTTTTAGAGAGAGTGGAAGAGAGTGGGAAAGACGGAGAGAAACACATTGATTGGTTTCCTCCTGCATGAGCCCTGACCAGGGCCCAGGCTGGGGAGGAGCCTGCAACCGAGGAACATGCTCTTGACTGGAATCGAACCGAGCCCCTTTGGTCAGTAAGCCGAAGCTCTATCTACTGAGCCAAACAGGCTAGGGCTCAAGTTAATACTAATCTTAAATGAGATAGAACTTAGGGAACTTAGTCTGTGCTTTGATCCGTTAACCAAGAGCACTGTTGATAATGTTCCAGCAAGCATATCTAGGTTAGGCTAATGGGTGTGGTGGTTATCAGTAATATGACAAAAAGTACATTTGAAGGGACAGGAAGTTTTAGTTGACATTGGTTGGGACCCAAACCTTTAAACTATCCTATATACCAGTTAATAGCTATGCTAATTAGACTGAACTGCAGAACTACCATCTGGACGACCTTCCAGAAGAAGCTGAGGCTGTGAGGGCTGTCCAGGACTGCAAGGGCTAAGCCACTTGCATGCATCGGGCCTCTAGTCTATAATAATAAAAGCCTAATATTAGACCCAGTCTGTCTGAAGCCGTGGCAGGCAGGGGCTGAATTTTGTGTATCCAGCCTCTAGTCATTACATAATTTAAAAGGCTGATGTTTTATATAAGGATTTTTAAGCTTTAAAAAAAAAAAAAAAAAGATTTTGGGGAGATCATGAGTATAGTAAGTAGGTGGCAAAATTTGGCTTTTAAACATGAATTTGATAAAAATTAATGCTGTTAAAAATGAAGGGAATTTTGTTCTGTGAGATACTAAGTAGCCTAAAAGTTTATGCAAAAATAGACCATTCCTGGTTGTCATACTTACTTGAATAAAGATTCTTTGTAGTGTTTCTTTTCTGTGATTCTAAAATACATTAGACTTTTTAGCAACGGTGCCATTGTAAAAGTCCTTACATGATAGATTCTAAATACCTGCTAGTAACTTGCTTATTTTAAGTTATATCCTTGGAAAAGTTACTTGGGCTACATGAAAGTTTCTGATCCATGATTTTTCTAAAAATATATTTTTTATTGATTTCAGAGAAAGGGAGAGGAAGAGATAGAAACATCAATGATGAGATTGGCTGCCTCCTTCACTCCCCCTACTGGGGATCAAGCCTGCAACCTGGGCATGTGCCCTTGACCAGAATCTAACTGGGGACCCTTCAGTCCACAGGCCAGTGCTCTATCCACTGAGCCAAACCTGCTAGGGCTTGGCTCAGTGGATAGGAGTATACATTTCCTTTGGGATATTTTTCAACATGGTATTGATTTAAAGGGTTTTGGCTTTAAATAAATTTTATGCTTTTTTTTTTTTTTTTTTTTAACATTGTTGTTTCTCTCCATAGATATTTGGAGTTCTTAACAACATGGCAGACATTGAAAAGTAAGTGACATAGTTCCTTTCTTTTTCAGATATTTGTACTGTGATATAGTTAGCAGTACTAGCTGTGTAGTAGGAAATGTATGGGAATAACTAATATTTAGTGCATACTTTTTATAAAAGTTGCATACCATGTATCAAAGACAAAAGATAGTATATATATTTTCATTGTCATAAATATAGTAAACAATTTATCAATGTTTATTCTTAGGAAAGTGCTGAGCACAATAATGTATCATAAATACTTGCAGAGTCCACTTTACCCTATATGTATTTCCCAAAAATTTTTATGCCAAACATTGTAATGTATCATACATACAAGATGATGTTACAAAATGTCTATGTAGAGTTTAAAGAATAATAGGACACTGTGTACAGCTTTTAAAAATAGGACATTACTACTGTTAGAATGTGTGTCCCTTCTCACTTGCTATTTTGGCTTTTGTCAAATTTGTTTCTTTGTTATTTTCCTTTAGAGATTTATCACCTATAAATTCTTAATGTTTAATTATGAAAATCTGAATAGTGGTCACACACTTAGGCATTATTACCACTATTAGTTGAAAGCTCCAAGACCTACCTAATAAAATAGTAACATGCTAATTGACTGTGCCTTTGTGATACCTACCAGCCAATCAGGAGTGAGTATGCAAATTAACCCAACAAACATGGCAGGTTGATTTGCATACATGGGCGCTGAGTGGCTGGGGATGTTCAGCACCACCCCAGCCACTCCAGGCCTCTGGGCAGCATGGGAAGGTGGAAAGGCTGCTCCAGGCCAGAGCGAAAGCAGTGCCAGCAGCTAGTGGAAGGAAAGCCCATTCTTGCACAAATCTTCATGCATTGGACCTCTAGTAGGAAAATAAAAGGCTACCTGGGTCATAGTCTGGATTTAACTTTACTGAGGCTTTTTCAACTTTTCAAGGGCTTATTTTGGATAAGTCATTGGGCAAGTTCATGCATCCTGCAAACTGGGTTAGTAATATAGTGTGGGTGGGTATCTTGCAGAAATATGGTGAGGAAAAATGGGATATGCTGCTTGTAATTTTACAGTAGCCTGCCAACTTAGAGGATTGGTTAAAACAGAATACTTGGGGCTAGGGGTGGCATGATATGATAACAGCTGTTTCAGACAACATAGTAAGGAGATGGAAAAGCAGGAAAATTTTAGCACAAGAGTAACACATTACATGTAAGAATCTGTCTGATTTTCCCATGCATGCTGTCTTCAGAATAAAAAGGAGAGTGGCAGAAGGCATTTTTTGTGATCATGGCTTTCAAAGTATTGTTGCCTCAGTCACATTCTTCCAATCTGGATTTCTTAGCATTAGCTAAGAAATTGTGCATTTATTTCTATCTTACTGAGGTTTCCTCAGTTTCTTCTCTCAGTTTTGCTGTTTGTGATATCCCCTGTTTTTTTTGTTGGTTCTTTAGTATCTTGGAAGAGTACAAGGGAAGTAAATTATTTTAAATGGCATGAATGAAAATGACATTTCTGCTTTTGTGCATGATAGTTTGTAGAATTCTAACTTAGAAATTGTTTTTCTTAAGAATTTTGAAGGCATTGCTGCTCCATTGTCACCTGGCTTCCAGTCTTGCTGTTTTGGTATTCAAAGTCATATCTTGATCATTTGTATATGGCACTTAAAAAAACACACCACACAATGTATCTTTATTCTGGAAGCTACTCTGGTTTCAGAATTCAGAAATTTTATATTACTGGAACATTTTTTTTTTTAATCGCTTGTGTTGTGCATTCACTGGTGGACCTTCAGTACCAGGAAATATTCTTATTTTCTTTTTTCTCTTTCTGGATCTCCTGTTATATTGTGTGTTGGACTAATTTCTTCGGATTACCTTTTGTACTATTTTCCCTCTTTGTCTCATTGCTCTTTATAAGGAAAGCTAAAGAAATTTTATTTTTTAACTCTTTTATTGAGTTTCTAAATTTCTGTTTTTTAGTTTTCATGAGCTCCTTTGCTCTCTGTTCCTATTTTTATAGCATCTTATTCTTGTTTTATGGATTGTTTTATTCTTGTTTTATGGATTTTCTCTGGATGCTTCCTTTTCCTGTGTAGTCTTTTTTTGCTCAAAAATTTTATCCTTCCTCTGTTTTGGTTTCAATGTAAGAGGCTTTCCTCAAAAAAGAAGTTAATCATTAAGATTGGGGTGGGGTGGGTCAGGCAGTTGAAGAATGTTTTAAAAAGTTGACTAGAACATTTGAGTGTTGGGGGATGCTTATTCATTTGGTATTTTAATGTAAGGTCATTAGTGTGGGCATTTGTTATGAGAATCCCCAGTGACAGAATATTTTTTGGCTTTTTTTTTTCCTGGGCTGGTCAGATACACCTCAGTGAATGGTACGTGTTCTGAGAGCCAAGATGGGAGGTGAGGGGTTTCTACGTATTCAGTATTCTAGTGTGCATATCGTCATATCTTTGATATTAGTAACTGTCTGTGATCCTTTCGTCCAGCTTCTCAGTTTAACCCTTTCCAGTGAAGAAACTGTCATCTGCTGAAGTTTAACTGCTTATCAAGTTTTGCTCTGTCCTCCTTATTTTATTCAGATTAAGTGTTCTTTTTAAGATTCTGTGTTTGAGCTGGTTCTCAGCTTTCCTACTGCTTAGATTGCAGTTCTCAGTGAAGTTACTGCTCCTGAGTCTCCTTGTCTATTCTTCAGAGTGTGTCTGTTTAAAAACCCTTTATCATAATTTTAGTGGGGATCCTAGAAAGATTGAGATCAGATGCGTATGTATAATTTGCCATCTTAACTGGTTTTTTTGTTTTTTGTTTTTGTTTTAAATCAATCTGTATTGTTCATATTATTACAAAGGTTCCTCATTTCTTCCCCCCTCCACCAGGTTCCCACTCCACCCTCTGCCCCCTCCCCATCCCCCATTGTCCTCATCCATAGGTGCACAGTTTATGTTCAGTCTCTTCTTCCCTCCCTTTCCCCGATAGTAAATCTCTTTTCAAAAAGTAAATCAGTTACTTAGCATTTTCTCATATCAATAATACCTCCACATGCCCAATGATACACTTCACACAAAAGACATTTCCCAATAGGTCCACCAGCCTCATCCAGGCCCCACCCAAGGCACTCACAGATCAACACCCCAGCCCTATACTAACTGAACACATCCAGATCTAAGCCTTCATCACTTAATTCAGCAGACCCTCATGTTCCCACGAAAGTTTCCAGCCATGTCTGAGAGGCAGCCGTGGGGCAGGGGCAGGCGAGGAGCGAGCTGTTCCGGGCCTGGCTGCTCAGGGCCTGGCCTCTGTTGCTCTGGTTCATTCCACAACCAGCTGCTCCGGGTCTGGTCACTGCCGCTCCCGACCTAGTCGCGCTGGACTTGGCTGCTGCTGCTCCGGGCCTGGTTAACTTTTTTAATACACATTTTTATTTATTTCAGAGAGGAAGGGAGATGGAAAGAGAGATAGAAACATTAGTGATGATCAAGAATCATTGACCAGTTGCCTCCTGCACACCCACTACTGGGAATTGAACCTACAACCTGGGCATGTGCCCTGACCTGGAATTGAACTGTGACCTAATTCATAGGTCAATGCTCAACAACTGAGCCACACCCTTCAGGCACTTTCATTTTTTAAATTTTGAGGGGGAAAAAGAAAAGTTCATTACCTCTTTCATTATTTAATTTTGGATGCCTGTGAGCCTTTGGAGAGGAAAGGGAAAAGGGAATTCTTGTTATGTAAAGCAAAAGTAGCAAACTTTCTCTGTAAAGGACCTGATCTTAAATATTTTTAGGCATTTGGGGCCATATGATCTTTTGTAACTACTCAGCTCTGCTGCACAGTGTGAAAGCAGCCATAGACAATACATAAATGAATTAACTGGCTGTATTCCAATAAAACTTTACTTACAAAAATAGGAGTGGGATGGATTTGGCCATGTCGCACAGTTTGCAGACCCCTGTTTTAAAGCTTTAAGATTTAGATGTTTAGTAAGTGGTTGAATGAAATGACAGTGAAGGAAGAGCAAGTTTATGCTACGTCAGAGATACTCCAGAAATGATTATTTTGTTTTTGATGAGAAGGCTGATTTTATTTTTCCCCCTTAGTTTATGGGAATGTAAATTTTGCTAGCAGAATACAGTTGACTTTTTCTGTACTTGTCCCCATATGAAAATTAGATAGTATTTATCCATATATGAAACATTTTTAAATGCTTTTCTAAATATGTAAAGCAACTGAATCAAATAAATAGTAAAATTTCTATATATTGACTTAGATATTATTTACCTTTTTAATGTTGATTATATTGTTATCTATTTTTTTACCTTCTCTTCCAATGCTGCCATCCTCCTGGCTTTGCTCTAAGCATAGAGTCTCAAGGATGAAAGTCCACAGGCTGACTTACAGTAGTTGTTCCATAGCCATCAGGGATCCAGAATTCTTCTGTTTTTCCAAACTCCTTCATCCTTAGCTAGTGACTTCTTTTCGCTAAGTTGCCTTATGGTCCAGGCTGTAATCATCACATCCATATTCTAGGGAGGAAGCAAGGTCAGAAAGAAAGAGAGCCTAGCCTTGTAGCTATTTGCCATCCTATAAAGGGAGGTTTCTCAAAGTTCTGTATTACTACATTTCTCTTACTGCTAAAATCTAGTCATGTAGCCACAAGCTAACTAAAAAGGTAGTCTGGGAAATGTAGATTTTTTTTTTCTAGCTTTGTAAATTGCCATCTCATAATATTAGGGTGCTCTTACTAAGAAAAATCAATAGATGTTGGGTAGTAAACATACTTCCTGACACTATTAAACCATATTTTTAAAGCTTGAAGTATAAACTTTATATTTGACTACGTGCTTTTAAATGAAATTTAAAAATATTTGTACTTGTTTACAAAAGAAAACAGAATTAGCTTTTGGATTTTCTATTTTATATTTTTTAAAGAGGCATATTAACCTAGGAAATGAATTGAAGTATTTCTACATATTTTATATTTTCGGTAATTTGGTACATTTGAACCTTGGTGTGATACTGTGATATTGTAGCAAAGAACAGTCTGAACTTGATCAAGATTTGGATGATGTTGAAGAAGTAGAAGAAGAAGAAACTGGTGAAGAAACAAAAATCAAAGGTATTATTTTAAATTTTTTCAGGCTCTAGTGATTACTGGCACATGTCTTCTAGAGCAGCGGTCACCAACCTTTCGGACCTCACAGACCACCAGTTGGTGACCGCTGTTCTAGAGGATAGTAATAAATACCGTCCTCTTTTTGATCTTTACCCACCAGCCTGTACCTCAGTTCAGTAACAGTTTGTATGTGTGTGTTTGATGTTGGGGGAGGGAAGAAAGAAAGGAGGACAAGAGGATGATGGGGATGAAATGATAGTAAAGGAGGAAGGTGTGAGTATAGTGACCCCTCAGAAGTCACTATGTTTGCACCCTCTGCTGCTGAGTGACATGGCATAGTTGGGTCAAACAGCTTAGCTACCCATGAGTTTTGTCTGAATTTAGAAATGTTAGAGATGGTGGAAGTTGTTTTTGGTGGTGCTTCTAAATAAATACCACTAGTTTAGATTTACTTGAAAATGTTTTGTATTTAATAAGTAGACTGTATATATATATATATATATATATATATATATATATATATATATATATATAATATGTGTGTGTGTCCTTTTTATTTAAACCAAAAAAGAGACATTAAAATTAGTAGTGGTGGTGTGGAATTACTTTAGGTTTTGTCCTATAGATAGGAACCAAGAATATTAAGGGAACAGATGAGTCAACATTTCATTTTTAAGCCAGAGTGAGGTTAATTGTTAAGATTAGTGAACTTATTTTTAGCTTTCATTATGCAACATTTTCTTAAAAGATAACAGATCATGTGTCCTTAGTGGCCAGTATTGATATTCCAAAGACATGGCTTATCACAACTGTACATCTAATAATCAAATTAATATTAGCAGTCATTTGAAAACACAATTGGAAAAATTAAATGGAAATTTTGGGTAATGTCTGTTGAAGAAGATAGCAAAATAATTTTTGCATATATCTAGCTTACATTTGGATTAAGTATAATTTCAAGACATGCTGATAACCAAGATTTTAGTTACAACTTTTGACTTATCTCAACTGTTAACTTTACCTATTGAGACATACATAGGCACATTATATAAACAAACATCAAATAAACAATTTAGGTTATTCCTTGTACTTTTTCCCAGGCTCCAAGCTGTCACTATATTTGCAGTTTTTTGATAATGTGCTGTCTGCCTTCGAAGAATTATCGAGTCATAGGTAGGCATCTGGATGAAGCTTTGAGCATCTCAAAATGCAAGATGGCTGAAACACAGATGGTAGTAGTAAGAGAAGGAATACTGTAATAGAAGTTGTATAAATGGTCTTGAGACATGGCATGACTAGAAATCTTTAGGAATCTGAACACTAGGTTTTCCTAGAATGAATTTTCTTTAGCCTGCTGCTTATCTCTACTCATACCAGCTAGTCAGGAAACCTCATGATTGGATTGTCCTATTAAAATAGCATAATACGTTTTCATAAAATCCTTCTTTCGATGCCCCCCTCCCCTTTTTTTTAAGCGCGTCAGCTGACTGTTCAGATGATGCAAAATCCTCAGATTCTTGCAGCCCTCCAAGAAAGACTTGATGGTCTGGTAGAAACACCAACAGGATACATTGAAAGGTACAAGTTCTTTTTCATAGTTCTTACTTCTCTTTCTATAATCAACATTGCAGGTGTATCTATTTTTAAGGCCATCTGGAACTTATGTACGTAATAGTGGAAAGCACATGTTTGTTAATATCTAGGTTTTGCTAAGTACCACCGGTTAAGAGTTAGTCTTTTTAAAGTTTAATTTCATTTCCACAGGAAGTATACTGATCTTAATCATTTCTGAGATTTATTTAGAGATTTCATTAGAAATGCACAGTATTAGAAGAAATAACAGATTTCTTATTTAATTTGTTGGCAATATAAATCATTAGCAATAGCTCAAATATTCTATTCTGCTTGCAATTTTTATATGGCTTTATGATTTTAAGATCCATCCATGTTGTTATCTATATGTATCTCTAGTAGCTTCTAGCTTCTAAATGTTTCCTAGATCTCCTTGGTGTTTGTCCACCATGTTTTTTATTACATGCGTTTTCTTTGATGGATAGCTAGATTGCCTCCAAGCTCCATCAACACAAAGTCCATTGTAATGGTCATTGTACATTTCCTCTTAAGGAACTATGTAAGAATATTTTTAAGATTTGTCTTATCAGTGGAATTGCTAGTCTGGGCTTTCCAAGCCTTAAGTACTTCCAGCTTGCTTTCTAGGATGGCTGTATCCAGTACAATGAAGGTGTCCTTTCCAACAGTTGACATCATTCAACTTTATAGTTTTTTACTTTCACCAACTGAAGAGGTACAGGCTTATTTTATTTGGATTTCCTGATTTCTGATGAGCTTTTTTCATCATGATTGTGAGACTTTTAGGTTGCTCATTTGTGTCCTTTGCCCTTTTTCCTATTTGAGCTTACTATCTTTTTCTTGTTTTGCAGCGTTTCTTATGTATTCAAGGTATTAGTCCCTTATTAGTCATTTTTACTTACTTTGCACACAGCACCCTCTATTGAACAAAATTATTACTTTTTATGTTTATTCAATTTTTATCTATGATTTGTTCTTTTGAAGTTAAGTCTCTCCTAGTTCCTTTTCTATTTCCAATTGACTAGTTTTAGCATTAGGTCTTCAATTCCTCTAGGTTACATCTTTGTATTTAATGTGAATAGGCATTTATTTTTTTTCTTTTTTAGTGTGCTAGCACATTTATTGCATATCATCTTTTTATAAACACCTGTGTTTGTCTTTGCGTAGGACTCTGCTGTTTCATTGATCTTTTTTCCCCTCTTGCTTTGTCATTGTCACACTTAATTACCATGGCTTTATAGTATGTTTTAGTACCTCAGGATGAGTCGCTTTCTTCTGCCACCCCTCCCCACACACAAGCTCTCCACTCCCACTTTCTTCGTAGTTTGACCTAACCATCTATAGACCTTTATCATACATACATGAATGAAAGTAAGTTTATCAGTGTTCTTTCAAAAAAAACAAACAACTAAAATTTTGTTTTGCTTTGTTAATCCTCACCTAAGGATATTTTCCCATTGACTTTTGAAGTATATTTAATTGATTTTTTACAGAGAGGGAGATGGATAGAGAGTTAGAAACACTGATCAGTTACCTCCTGCACACTCCCTATTGGGTATGTGCCTGCAACCAAGATACATGCTCTTGACTAGAATCGAACCTGGGGCCCATGAGTCCACAGACTGATGCTCTAGCCACTGAGCCAAACCGGTCAGTGCTCCATTGATTTTTAGAAAGTGGAAGGAGTGGAAGAAAGAGAGACAGAGAAACATCGATATGAGAAGGACACATTGATTGGCTGCCTTCCACTTGCGCCCTACCATGGCCAGGGATCTAGCCTGCAACCGAGGTACATGTCTTTGACCGAAATTGAACCCAGGGTCCTTCAGTCTGTGGGCTAATGTTCTATTCACTGAGTCAAACCAGCCAGGCCCAAACTAAATTTTTTATAGCTATTGCATTGAATAATTAAATATATTATTAGCATGGTAGGGAGTTATATAATTTTTCATATTAAATTGTTTTATCCATATCCTTATATTTGTTCAAATCAAACTCTGTCTTTTATTATAGCTTTTCTATATAGTTCGTTCTTGGTTAATTCCTATATACCTTAGTTGTGCTGCTATTGTGAATAGTATCTTAAATTTTTAATGTATTTTATGGCTGGCTGTTCTTGATGCAGAGAAGGAGGGCTCTTGTTTTTTTTGTTTTTTAAAGTTGATTTTATATTGGAAATCTTGGTACACTTGCTATAGTAATTTATTCTATATTTTCTCCCATGGGTAAAAGATCTCATCTGCAAATATTGGCAGTTTTAGCTGTAATCTTCCACGCTACACTAAACCACATGTTTGTTTTTCTTTCTTTATAACATTGGCCAATATTATGGTGAGCGTCAGTGTTAAAATGGGCATCTTTGTCTTATTTCTAACCTTAACCAGGAATGGATATAAAATCTCTATTAAATTTTGTGTCTATGATTTTCATGACCTTTTTTTTTATATTAGTTTAGATGGTCTTCTGACTTTTTCTTTGAATCATTAAGTACATATTAAGTATATAGTTTTGAAATACATAGTTTGGATATCAAACTAACATTCTTGGAATAAGCTTAATCATGATGTATTGTTACATCATTGAGTTGGGTAATTAATACACTTATTCAGGATCCTATTCATTCGTGAAATGAATATATGCATGTATGGATGTACAATAAAAAAAACTTTTCAAGGGTGGTAATTCTATCCCCTGGTGTTAAGAGTCAAGATTTGGACTGCCTATTGAAATGAACATGACTGCTTTTACTTTTTTTTCCTGTTTCCTGAAATGACTTGTATAAGATAGAAATTAACTGTTTCTTGAACCGTTGGTAGAACACTTCTAAAAATTTACTTGCATCTTTGGGATTCTGGGGAATTTTTCATATTTTTTTAATCAGTCTCTTCAAGTTCTCTTATGTCAGTTTCAAAGCTTATATTCTTCTAAATAATGGATGCATTTTATTTACCAAGTTTAAAATTGATTAGTATATACCAATAATTCATGCTATTTTTTAAAATCTGTGATTATTCTCCCTTCGTATTTTGCATCTTTATCAGTTTTGCCAGTTGCTTCAATCTTACTTTTTTTTTTTTAGAACCAGCTTTTGATTTTTTATTTCCGTATGTATATTTGTTAATTGGCTTTAATGTTATTATTTCCTTCTTATTTCTAATTTTCCAATTTTTGTTTATAATTTTTAAATTGAAATCTTAGTTCATTTAAATTTTTTAAAAGAGATTAATTTGTATCGTTGACCTTAATTTGTTTTTGTAAATGTTCTGTGAGTATTAAATATGAAGATCTATATACTTAAATTAATAGCCCAAGCTTATTCATTTTGTTGTTTGGGTTCTTACTTCTCATTATTGTCTGCTTGATCTAATAGTGTCTGGGAAGGATGTGTTAAAAATTTTTATCTGTTCTCCCTGTAAATCCATCAGTTGTGGATTGTGTCGTAAATTGTTTTGAGATTAAGATAGTTTTCTTTTGGGTTATATTTACCTGGCATGTCTTTTTCCATCTTTGTATCTTACTCTAATGTGAATGTTTGCTTCTTTATTAATAATTTCAACTCTACGTTTCTTAAAAGTGGTAATATTTTGGACTGAATTGCCACCATATTTTCCTTACTTTTAAATTTATTGTTTGGTTTTTCTTCTGTTTTCCATTGAACAGAACAAGGTGACTTCTGATTTCAAAGTAAAATGCATTTATTTTTGGTGTTCTTATAGGAGACTGGTTTATAACCCAATACCTGATTTTATTTACCCCTATTGATTTTAAATTCACCAATATCTATATTGTTTATAAATAACTTGTAGTCCTCTGTTTCTTTCTTTTAAAGCAAAAATAAAATTTCCCAAGGTATTTGAACATCTTATCTACAGCCTCTCCTGGATTTTTTTTTAAACTTACCAATTATTTTTCAAAGTTCTCAATTATCTGAAAATTTCACTTTATTCTTGTATATGTACAGTATTTTCTTTTGAAGTCTTAGTTTGATTTTTTTTTTTTTTTGTAGGTTATTTGCTTTCTTCATTGAAGTCTTAGAATTTTTTTTGTTTTTGATATTCATAAATCTCATTAACATGTCTGGGTTAGGGTAAAGATTTTCATATTGCTTTTTACTTTGAGAAGTTCTCTCTTTTAGATATTCACCACCCTTTGTTTTTTAGCTATTGTTAACGTCATTCATATCTCATAGCTTTTCTTTCTCTGGTGAGCTTTTCAACCTCAGACTTTCTTCAGTTGAACCTGTCTTGTTTATCCTATTTGTTGGTCATTTTAGTTACTGCATTTTTCATAATAATCCTAACTTATTTCAGATTTCTTGGTCTTGTCTCATACTGCTACTAACTTCCCTTTTCTCTGAGTATATTTATTCTGTTGAAATTCTTAATCTAATACTTCAGGTGATCAGTATTTCATTCATTCTGTACTCAAGTGTCTAGCTATTTTGGCCTTAGAGCTTAGGGATTATGACAAGAATTAAGAGAGTAATGAATATCAGACTGGTTTGTGACAATTCTGTAGAGTTTAAGAAGGGGGTGGAATGAACCTAAAGAGAGTTTCAGTTACTTGGATTTAAAGTTTGCTGACAATTATGGGCAGTTTTTTGGCTGCTTTGGGAGGAGGCAGTCTACTGGTTGTAATCCATTGTATCTGGATTGAAGGGGGTGGAGTCAGAGCTTGTGGGTTTTGAGTCAGTCCAGTTTTCATCAAATCCATGTTATTCTGAAAACACTGGCACTGGGCTCTGAAGGGTGAGGGGGTCTGCAATGAGTGTTGAAAGGCAAGCGCAGCACTTAACAGCTACCTACTCTGGTCATCCTAGGATGTTTTCCCAGGTGGTAGCTCAACCCCTATACCAGTTAACTACAGTCTTCAATCTTAGAAGTTGCTTGTGTATGTGTGCATGTATGGTATATGTACACATCAGAGTGGGAGTAGAGGTCAGCAACCCAATGACAGAACATTAAGCTTCTTGTTTGTGAGAAATAAAGTTGATAATGTTTTGGTATTTATTTTTTTGCTTGGTTATATATTTTTAAAATGTATTTTTATTGATTTCAGAGAGGAAAGGAGAGAGAAAGAGAGATAAAAATATCAATGATGAGCCGAAACCGGTTTGGCTCAATGGATAGAGCGTCAGCTTGGGGACTGAAAGGTCCCGGGTTCGATTCTGGTCGAGGGCATATACCTTGGTTGCGGGCATATCCCTAGTAGGGGGTGTGCAAGAGGCAGCTGATCGATGACTCTCTCATCGATGTTTCTAACTCTATCTCTCTCCCTTCTCTCTGTACAAAATCAATAAAAATATACTAAAAAAATATCAATGATGAAAGAGAATCATTGATCAGTTGCCTCCTGCACGCCCTCTACTGGAGATTGAGCCCACAACCCAGGCCCTTGACTGGAATTGAACCTGGGACTCTTCAGTCAGCAGACTGACGCCCTATCAACTGAGCCAAACCGGCCAGGGCTTTACTTGATTATCTTAACTAAAGTGATTTAGTAAAATACTTCATTCACAGCAATCTGTCTATGGCAGGAAATTCTAATCTGGATTATAGGTCTGTTTCACAGATTTATTGAAGTTAGGTAAATTTTGAATGTTAGCATATTTTGAGAGGTAGAGGAGCTCATACATGTAAGCATTCTTTGAGGGGCTCACAGAGTTAGGTGTGTGTAAACTTAAAAATCTTCCTTAGTAAATTATATAAATACATGAGTTACATCTCAATAAAGCTGATAGTTTTTGTTGTTTTTTTTAAGTCCCCTCGTCATAAAATATAGTCTTATTTAATATAATTTCAAATTCCAAGTTAGAGACTACAATAGAAAATAATGGTGTAGGCTCCTATCCTGTTTACCAATATTCATATGCTCCCTTCCTTTCTCCTAATACTAACTTGTACAGATGAGATATTTTGTTTTGTTTTGTTTAAGAAAGTTCGGGTTATCACTTAGCAATGTCATTCCACGGTGGTTGTTTTTTATTTTTTATTTTTTTTTATTTTTTTCCCCTCACCCGAGGATATTTTTCCATTGATTATTGTAGAGAGGGGGAAAGATAGAAAAATCAGTGTGACAGAAACACATCTATTGGTTGCCTCCTGTACAAGCCCCGACCAGGGCCTGGGTCAGAGAGGAGCCTACAGCTGAGGTACATGCCCTTGACCAGAATTGAACCTAGGACACTTCAGTCTGCAGACTAATGCTCTATCCACTGAGCAAACTGGCTGGGGTCAGACTTTTTAACTTTAGAAAATAGGCTGTATTTTACAGTTGAGATGCCAATGCATAAGAACAAAGTGGAACTTGGGTACAATGAAAGGTCTGGGTTGATAATCTGATTTACATTTCCTCGTCAGTTTAATGTACTTGGCTAAATATCTACTTTTGAACTTTGATAGTACAGAGGCCTATGCATTTATACCTCTTAAAGTTTAATTATTCGGAGTTAGTATATCTTTGCTTCAAATAGGAAACCTATTATGCTTCAATTTCAACATGATAAAAGAAGTGTAACTTGTGTCTTCCTGGTATATTATGTAATTGATGCTTTCTGACCTTTCAGCTTGCCTAAGGTAGTTAAAAGACGAGTGAATGCTCTCAAAAACCTTCAAGTTAAATGTGCACAGATAGAAGCCAAGTTCTATGAGGAAGTTCATGATCTTGAAAGAAAGTATGCTGTTCTCTATCAACCTTTATTTGATAAGGTAATGCTTTCTATTACTTTGTTTTACATATGTAAAATTTGAGAAGGTAATAAAGCTCTAGAAGCAATTTTTTTTAAAGATTTCTTATTGATTTTTAGAGAGGAAGGAAGAAAGAGAAAGATCAATATAACAGTGAAACATCAGTTGTCTGCCTCTTGCACACACCCTACCTTGGGTTCGAGCCCATAACTTGGGCATGTGCTTTGACAGGGAAACGAACTGGCAGTGCACAGGACGATGCCCAACCAATTGAGCCACATCTGCCAGGGCCATAAATAAACATTTTTTTAGACCTCTCAGCAAAAATGGTTATTAGATCTATTTGGGAAAACTATCAATAATAGCAATTCAAGTTATGGTATGCATTAATTAAAATCTATGGGTTCCTAATGAGAAACAGCTAATTTTTAGCTTGGATATCATTTAAGCTTTTTTTCCTTCAATTACTTTAGCGATTTGAGATCATTAATGCAATTTATGAACCTACGGAAGAAGAATGTGAATGGAAACCAGATGAGGAAGATGACATTTCGGTTGGTACCAACTTTAATTTGGGGTGTTTTATACTTTGGGAATAAAAGCATTTCCTTCGAACTTCATGATGACATACAAAGGATTGTTCCCTTTTTTTCAAGTGAAGAAATGAAGGCTTCTAAGTGACTTGCCCACAACTAATAATGGCAGAGCTGAGAAACAAATCCACTGCTCTGTTTAAATGACCCTGTTTCTCCAGAATTGCTATTTTAATATTGTTTGCTTAAGAGAATATAATATTTTTATAAGAAAACATCAAGGAATAAAACATTGGACAAATTTTATATTTCTTTTGCTTTTCCTGTTTACTATGCTAAAAAGTAATTGTTTTTCATGGCTTTAAAAATTATTTTCCTAAAACTTTTTATATACCTCATAATCCTAGTGGTTTTCTTTGGGAGCAGTATAGTTGTAGCAATATTTATAAAGTAAGGTAACAGCAGTGTTTGCACAATTGAACTCTAACTGTTTGGGCCGAAAGTTATAATCAATGATTGAGGGTTTGTTAGTTTCTATACATAGGCCACTATGTTTAAGGGGATGTATAAGATTTTATCAAGAGGTTTAATTTAGGTTTTCAGTAATGTATGCTGTTATTTATCAAGGAGGAGATGAAAGAAAAGGTCAAAATTGAAGATGAGAAAAAGGATGAAGAAAAACAAGACCCCAAAGGAATTCCTGAATTTTGGTTGACTGTTTTTAAGAACGTTGACTTGCTCAGTGATATGGTTCAGGTAATATTACTCTTAAAAATAATCAGGTTACGGCCAGGCCCGGAGCAGCGGCTGCCAGGCTGGGAGCGGCCAGGCCCGGGGGAGCAGGCGGGGCGGGTGCGGCCAGGCCCGGAGCAGCGGCTGCCAGGCTGGGAGCGGCCAGGCCCGGGGGAGCAGCCGGGTCGGGTGCGGCCAGGCCCGGAGCAGCGGCTGCCAGGCTGGGAGCGGCCAGGCCCGGGGGAGCAGGCGGGTCGGGTGCGGCCAGGCCCGGAGCAGCGGCTGCCAGGCTGGGAGCGGCCAGGCCCGGGGGAGCAGGCGGGTCGGGCGCGGCCAGGCCCGGAGCAGCGGCTGCCAGGCTGGGAGCGGCCAGGCCCGGGGGAGCAGGCGGGTCGGGTGCGGCCAGGCCCGGAGCAGCGGCTGCCAGGCTGGGAGCGGCCAGGCCCGGGGGAGCAGGCGGGGCTGGTGCGGCCAGGCCCGGAGCAGCGGCGGCCAGGCTGGGAGCGGCCAGGCCCGGAGCAGCAGCAGCCAAGTCCAGAGCAACTAGGTCGGGAGCGGCAGTGACCAGACCCGGAGCAGCTGGTTGTGGAATGAACCAGAGCAACAGAGGCCAGGCCCTGAGCAGCCAGGCCCAGAACAGCTCGCTCCTTGCCTGCCCCTGCCCCACGGCTGCTTCTCAGACATGGCTGGAAACTTTCATGGGAACTTGAGTGTCTGCTGAATCAAGTGATGAAGGCTTAGATCAGGATGTGTTTAGTTAGTTTAGGACTGGGGTGTTGATCTGTGAGTGCCTTGGTGGGGCCTGGATGAGGCTGGTTAACCTACTGGGAAATGTCTTTTGTGTGAAGTGTATCATTGGGCATGTGGAGGTATTATTGATATGAGAAAATGCTAAGTAACTGATTTACTATCTGAAAAGGGATTTACTATTGGGGAAATTGAGGGAAGAAGAGACTGAACATAAACTTCACCTATGGATGAGGACAATGGGGGATGGGGGGGGACGGAGGGTGGGGGGGGGAACCTGGTGGAGGGGGAAAGAAATGAGGAACCTTTGTAATAATATGAACAATAAAGATTGCTAAAAAAAAAAAAAATAATCAGGTTACCTCAGAGAATGTAAACCTTTGAAATATAAATGTTTGATGACCAGTCTCTCTGTAGTTGATATTTGTAGAATGGTTGCTTTCTTTTGAAACAGATGTTGTCTATAGAAGGGAAATTGCAGCTTTTTTTTTTTTTTAATGTAACCAAATAAATTATGATTCATTTTAAAAAAACAGATAATGAAATAGTCCCTTTAATAATTGGTCATTATTGTCTTGTGCTTTCTCATACTAGCTTTGTGCCTTCTGTCTCTAATGCTTAGTGTGTAGGTGGTGGAATGTGAGAGACTTAACCATGTCAATAGTCTTACCTAAAAGACCTTTTCAGTCTGAAATAACTATTCTAAAGTACATTTATATTTTATAAGAATGATGTAAAAATACATGTTTTTATTGATTTTTAGAGAGAAAGGAAAGGGGGAAACCAATAAAAACATTAGTGATGAGACAGAATCATTGATTGGCTGCTTCCTGTATGCCACACACTAGGGATAGAATCTGCAACCCTGACCGAGAGTTGAACTTTAACCTCTTGGTTCATAGGTTGATACTGAACTACTTAGCCACACCAGCTGGTCTATCTTTAACTCTTTAATAGTTGTCACTTTCTCTGGGGAACATTGTCTTATAATCAGAAGCATTTCTTGAGCCACTGCCATCTGCACTGTAGTACTTGTTTCCTGATACTATGATTGTTGGAAGTTAGTATCAAGAAAAAGAAGTGATCTCAAAACAGTGACTCCTTATTAGAAATTCCACTTTAACCAAGTAGGAAAACATCAAGCAGAAAGAAGGAAATGAATAACAGCAGCAGTTACAATCACAATCAGGAAACATTTAAAAGCAAACATGCCTATTTTAGACTTGGTTTTGTGTTCTTTAGCCCATTCAATCTGAATAATGAAGTAATCATTGCTACTTAAAACTTAACTTGAAATGTCAGTTATCTTTGTTCATTGTCCAGTAAGAAAACACTAGTCCTAAAATGCCACATTATTAATTTTTTCTTTTCATTTTTTTAATTTGAAGGAACATGATGAACCTATTCTAAAACACTTGAAAGATATTAAAGTGAAGTTCTCAGATGCTGGCCAGCCTATGGTAAAAACTTTGAAATACTTTCAATTTTTGAAACAGATGATTACAGATAAATAATGGAACTTTCTAGAAAGAGGTGTGACATTTAAGGGTTAGAAATGGGGATCAGGAGAAGTTAAAAGTGATACATGCCAAGGAAACATGAATAAGAAAGTACTTATTTTATATTAAAAGACATATATCTGGGACTTACATAAAATAGAAGATACTAGAGGGCCCTTAACTTCCCATTATGAGAGCTCAACCAACAACTTTTTCCCAAAACCTTCAGTAGTATAATGTAAAGTATGGGCAAAACTTCTAAAGGCTATAGATTCTTATATTGGCATGTAATAAGGTTGGGCCTTTTATCTGTCCAGCTTAGATTCTAGTATTAAGATTTAACATTTCTCTTTGTGAGGATGGAGAGAGGAATGAGGACTGGTCATTTTATTCAGATTTGCCCAACCTATTTCATAAACATGCTACTAAATAGTATTGTATGCTGAACTAAGTTTTGTGCCCCATTTTGCTTTTAGCATAATGGGGATTTATCTGACTTTCCCAGAGTGGGAAATCACTGTCACTTAGAATTTTATGTTTATAAAAACTAAAGATAAAGCTTTACTTAGTAAAGAATTGAAATTGATTATGTGGGAATTTAATTTGTTTTTATACTTTTTTTTTTTTTTTTAAAGAGTTTTGTTTTAGAATTTCACTTTGAACCCAATGAATATTTCACAAATGAAGTGTTGACAAAGACATACAGAATGAGATCAGAACCAGATGATTCTGATCCCTTTTCTTTTGATGGACCAGAAATTATGGGTTGTACAGGGTGAGTTTAATTTTACTATATTAACAGAATGTTAAGTCTGTATTTGTAGTACTTACGATTTGTGGTATTGGTATTTATATGTCTGTGTGTGATATACATTCATAAATAGTTTATCTCTCAACATGTGAGTAAAATGTTAGCTGAACTTAGCCATTTTCCTAAAATTCTTCTTGGCTTATGAACTATTACATTTTTCCAAAGGAAATACACATTTAAATTTATTATATTGTGAGTTTATGGTCATTGTAAATATGTTTATTGAAAAATTTTGTTTAGAAATAAAATTTTTCTCTTTACACTGCTATAGAAAGCATTTGGACCAATTTGCCCTCTAAAATTTAAAATATACTATTTATTTGGGAAAATCTTAGCATTTGAAAGTAATGTGTTAATTGTGATAGGAGATTTTTTTTCTCTCTGTTTTGGAAGGTGCCAGATAGATTGGAAAAAAGGAAAGAATGTCACTTTGAAAACCATTAAAAAGAAACAGAAACACAAGGGACGTGGGACAGTTCGTACTGTGACCAAAACAGTTTCTAATGACTCGTTCTTTAATTTTTTTGCCCCTCCTGAAGGTAAATGTGTTTTAGTTTGCATATTGGTGGTTGTTTTATTATAAGCTTTGTTTAATTTTTTTATTCATTTGAATTTCTCTTCTCAATTTTGCAGTTCCTGAGAGTGGAGATCTGGTAAGCTGAATTGTTATTTAATTGTTGAATTGTTTACTGTGTATGAAATTAAAGTACTGGTTCTCAAAAGTGGGGAGTGGGGTAGTTGCTACTAGCATTTTGTTTTGAGGTTTGTAGTGCATGGGGATGCTCTTGATGCATCTGAAAAGTTCCATTCAAAATGCTCAGTGCTTTCACTGAGAAATGCTGAAACTCTCAAGATTTTCTTTTCTTTTGAGACTTGGCAAATACTTAGGGATTCAAAGTTTTTTTCCTTATTGAAACTAGAATGTATTTGTTAAAGCCTGAGTGAGATTCTATTATTCCACTTGGTGTTTTTAGTAACTAATACTTTAAAAAGGAAAACTGCAGTTATGTAATTAAATTGCTTTATTTATATTTTACTTTTAAGCCATAAAAAACAAACAACAACTAGTTCACTAACTTTTTACTTCCCTAAATTTCTGAGTATGTACATTGTTCTGCTAACTTTCTTTTTTTTTAAAAACTGTTGGGTCATACCACATTTAAGTATGTTTTCAAATGACAGAAAGTTAAAAGTGAAGTTGAGAGTTACTTCATGATTTAAACCCAAGAGTCTTGCATGTGCTGATTTAAATAACAAAGTTAAATTTTTTTGCTTTTGATTTTCTCAAATAGGATGATGACTCTGAAGCTATTCTTGCTGCAGACTTTGAAATTGGTCACTTTTTACGTGAGCGTATAATTCCAAGATCAGTGTTGTACTTTACTGGAGAAGCTATTGAAGATGATGATGATGATGTGAGTGGATCTGAATCCTATAATAAAGTCATTTGGTGAGGGTATAATAATCAGAATTGGTGAGAGTTTTAATAAATTGATGTAATTTTTAGAAAGCACAACAGAATAATGCTATTAGTTTAATTCCTGATGTCCTGTAGATAACTTTTCTGAGTTTTTTTAAGTAGGTCCTCTTTGGGTTCGTTTACTACAATTTTTCTTTTTCTGCTAATAGGAAATTAGTGAAACTTCACAATGTTTGGTTAATACTGTAGATCTATTATGCTCTTGTTTTTGACCAAATAAAACATGCCAAGAACTTTTTTTTTTTTTTTTACTTTTATTTTTTTTAGTGCTTAAGATAACAATAGTAGGAAGCATAGAATTTTTATTCCAAGAAATATTAAAGATTTAGGTAACATTAGATTGCCCTTAAAGGTTTGGGTGTCTTTTATTGCTAAGTGGCAATAATTCAGATAGACATTTTGTGCATTGTGTTCCACATATAAGTATAAGAAAGTAATATTACAATAAATTCTGTTATACTTATCATTCACTTTAGGGAAAATATTTTTCCTTTTTTTAGATACTAGTGGATACAATGATGGGTGTAAATAATGTTCTCAGAAGTTTGTTCACTTCATCAAACTTGACCCCTTTTTTCCTTTTTTTAGTATGATGAAGAAGGTGAAGAAGCGGATGAGGTAATGTTTACCAAATGAGCAAATAATACTGTTTAACACATTGAGAAGCAAATTTGACTTATGTATTCCTTTGCTATAATCATTATTCTGTGATAATGCATTAAAAAAACATTTTTGGAAAAATTATGATTTTAGAATCTACAGCCAAACTATGTATGTATAAGGTTTCAATAAATAAATTGTAAAACTCAGAACATTTTTTTTTTATTTCAAATAATTCTGTTCTGCTGCAGGGTTTTCAGCTCTTTGAAGAAGTCAAAAGCTGCAGTAAACTTTTTCCACGTTGGCTGCAGTAAATCTTTTCAATAAAAGCTGTCTGGATATCTCAAGTTGTGTTGGGAAATTTTTCATAATAGAAGCTTTCATATTAAATTGCATTGTCACCAAACTCTGTAATCATGAAATTCTGTTGACCTATAGAGTAATTTGTATTAAATTCTTCCTACATTATGAGCCATTTCTTGCCTACTATGTACCTACTTCATGGATGCATTTTGAACTTTAATATAGGAAGGGGAAGAAGAAGACGAGGAAAATGATCCAGACTATGACTCAAAGGTGAGTATAATTAATGCTGTTTTTAATTAATTTAAGGCAGGTTAAATAAAAGTTAATATCTCAATATAAAGTTTAGTTTTACCCATTAAAAATGTTTAGTCCTCACTGGCATTTCAACAATACACTTAATTTCAGTGCATCTCTTAAGAAACTTATTTTAGGTCTGATCTTATATTTTTAAATTCCAGACTAAGCCCTAGAATTCTTTTTATTTTTCACTTTTATTGTTTTCAGAGAGGAGGAGAGGGGGAAGAGAGAGAAAGAAACATCAATGATGAGAGTCATTGATTGGCTGCCTCCAGCACCCCTTACTGGGGATTAAGCCCATAAACTAGGCATGTGCCCCTGACCTGAAATCCAACTGTGTCCTGGTATATAGGTCAACAGTCAACCAGTGAACCATACCAGCTGGTCTAGGATTCTGTTTTAATGGCATGCTATCATGTACATTTTTAAAGAAGCATTTTAAATTATAGCTTGTGGTTTTAAGCTGTTTACCCTCCAAAGGAAAGCTTATAAACAAAAGTCAGTTTTTAAATTATCTTAATATAGGAGTACGTGTGATTTAGGGGACCACCTCTCTTCTCCATCTGAGTCCCAGGAATTTGTCATATCAGGGTTAGTAAAGGCCTGGTTTCTTTTGAATTCATTCATTTGCTAAATGATACAAAATATCTAAAGATACTTTAACCTACTGGGCAGGTAAGAGGAGATAGTTAAAAATCAAATATTCCAACAGGTATGACTTACTCATAACAACTATTTATGAATGGAATTAGTATTTTTCTGAGCAACTGATCTGTAGAATAATGGCTATTATAACTAACAAATTGCTTGGTTATTTAATTTTTCAAGATTATGGCTCTGTCTCATTTTATGGAGTTCATTGTATTGTGTAAAATTTGCATTTTAGCATTTTCATGATCTGCTAATGTTTGAATAATAATTTGCTATCATTGCTTAATACCCTTTTTTAAAATTTGGCGAAATTTTTGACAGCGGTGAGATGATTACTAATGAAATATTAACTGAAGCTGGTAGAAAAAGATAGATTGACTTGTTATTTTCCTTTAACAGAAGGATCAAAACCCAGCAGAGTGCAAGCAGCAGTGAAGCAGGATGTATGGCCTTGAGGATAATCTGCACTGTAATAGCCTAAACACAACTTTTATTTACTTCCAGACTTAATGTTTTGTATGTTCTTGGTAGCCCCAGTAATTTTTTTTTAAAAGGAAGGAATTGATACTTTAAAGACAATTTTGTTCTACCTAACATTTTAAATTTAGTTTTTCTGCAAGATATGTTGAATGCAGAAATTCTCTCACATATTTTCATTCATTGCTATATAGTTTGGTTCTTCTGGGGTATTTTTATCATGTAACTATTAGATACAGCTATAAAAATAAACGAACTGTTAAATGAAACAGATTTTTTTGTTTTACTAAATTTTTTTTTTTTTTTTTCCTGAAGAACCAAAGTATTTTTTCAGCTGGTAGTTAAGTGGGTTTAAGTTTTGTCTTTCATTACTTTGTTATAGAAATACAGTGCCTATACTGAAACAATTCATTTTAAAAACAGAAACAAACTAGGCAAGACAATCTATGGTTAAGAATTTCCAGTAAGACTACATCTATTTGATTGTTCAATGGATTTTTAATATTTTAGATGGCATAATTATAAAGAACCCTAACTCAATTGTGTGGTTATTGGCTAGTTAACATAGGGAGATAAATAAAACTTAGTATTTTCAGACATTAAACTTTATTATTTTAATTGTACTTTTAAAATTAACCTCCATTAACTAAACATCTCTTCTTTGTGGTAGGGTCTACCTTCTGCTTCCCTGGAAAGGATGAATTTTCATCATTTGACAAGTTCATTTCAAGTTTTTTGTTTGTTTGTTTGTTTGTTTGCTTATTTTTGTAGCCTAAAATAAAATGTCAAATATAATTTTAGTTCTCACAAGATTGTCTTATAATTTTGTACTAATTCAGGCAGAAGTGAAGCCTTAGCTTGAATTAAGTATTATACCCAGTTTACTATCATATTGAAGAAAAGGGTGCCAACTCTGGAAGAGGTGTACTGCATTTAAAAAGAAAAGATTAAAAAAAAAATGATGTAATTTTTTAAAAGAATAAGTTAAGTTTTATTTCCTTTGGTTAGAATATGAGAAGGCTGCAGGCCTCTTGATTAATTCCAATTCTTATTGTTTAAAGTATGAGTATGTTGTTTACCCATGCTTCTGTTTACTATGTATTAAAATGGGTAGTACTGTTTACTTAACTACCTCACATGTGTTAGGCATATTAAATTATATATGAAATGTTTCTCAACCTTATTGAAAGCTTACAAATTTGGAACTTTTTTGCACCACAAATATGATACTCAGCTTTTTAGTCTACCGCAGTTTGCTAAATAAACCGAAAACAAAAGTTAAATACTTTGCTCTGGATCTGGGCAGGCAGGCTCTTTTAGTGGCTCCTTATTTAATGGAAGTGGATGGATAACCAACTATTTCAAAGGTCCAAGAATTGTTTTTAGGTATTTTAGTTATGACCATAGAGATTATGGTTCTAAAATAGAAGTAAGACTGTTTTTAAAGGGGTAAGGGTAATCCTATTAAATTTAATATTGTAGAGCCATATTTAAAATACCTCAGGCTAATTACTGTTAATTTTTTACTTTAAAGTTTTGTCAGTGAGGGTGGACTAATTGGATTGTAATTGGAAAACAGCTTAGAGTTTCTGCTTGTAATAAAGTAACGGGTTCGTTTTTAGAAATGATAGCTTTTCCATTTTGAAAATTTAGTATTACAGTCTTAGAATGTGAATGAATACATTTTGTTATTTGTGTAGAACTATCTTTTTCGAGATTCTAATTAACTACTGGAAATCCTTAACCAATTGCAATAGTTTATAGGGGGGAAAATGCCATGAAAACACCTGATGTTTTTCCTCTTCATTTTCAAAATGGTTTGGGTTGCTTTGATTAGACCTTTTGTACCCATAGCCATTTGAACACAGATGAACTTTAAAAATGTTAAAATAATAAATATAGGTTCTCATTTTTATATTATCTTTAAGTACCAAAACCACTATATTCTTTTTTTCTTTAGGAAATAGCTATTGCCAAAGTGAGGGAGTAGATACTATTTATCTCATTATATAAAGGCAATGTGATTTGCAGAGGAATTGCTCTCTTAATAAAGTTGGGGTTTCAAAGGATATCAGTGTTCATCTATGCCATCTCTCCAGTTCCAAAAGGCTTTATTCCATTCAAGAAATTTGAGACATGTAATTGGAAGATCTTAATAAAATTTGCATTTAATTTTATAAAATGTACTGGTGATGTTTTGGGTGGTTTTTAAATAAAAATACTACTACCTTTTTGTAAGAACAGTTAATAGAGATGTTTCAGGTTGGCTATTCTGTGCTTAGACCATGATGGTCTGTAAATTTGATTACTTTTAAATTATGAGCAACCTCCCAAGCCCTGCTGAATGGAGTTTCTATTTGAAGAGAAAGGACTTCCACAGATTTTACTGAGAAAACTTCCAAGTTTTTAGTTACTAGTTTCCTTCTACCCAGGCATTGGCTGCCAAGTTCTCAGTAATTGAATTAACTGTGTTACTGCTGCTTTTAAGACTGAGTTTATCCAAGTTGTAGGTAATTCCCATTATTAAAAATAATAAAACACCAGACCATGCAGAAATATTAAACTAATATTAAAGTATTCTTTATTTGATTGCAGGGCATGGTTTAGCATTTGAGTCCATTTTTATGGATGTTCTTATAAAAATTATAGCATTTATATTTTTGACTGTGTAAACCAGATGCTATTTTAAATATGCAGAATAAACAATTGGCTTAGAGCAAGCATACGTACTGTCTTCTATAGGGAACTTTGAAGCGAAAAGGCATGTGAACTTAATGTTTGTTTTTTAATCTTCACTGTATATTGGTCATTGTACCAATTTGTTTTGAAAATATTCATAATTTAGGTGATTTGCTACATAAAACACTAATAGCTGAAAATTAAATGGTGAAATTACATTAATTTTCAGCTATGTAGTGATGATTTTTTGTATGCTAGTTTAAAAATCCAGTTACTAAAATTGGATAAAATTTTAGCCACGTTCTTGGACTGATTAAGAACTTCAAAGAAATGGAAACATCTTTGTTGGAGTGTGAAATTATTGAAGGATAAGTGTTTATCCATGAGAAATCTTGATTATATTTAGTTGAATACATTTTAAGAAAAAAACAGTATTCTTTGTAGCTTGTGTTTAAGTATAAAATGAGAAACAGAGTCTCAACAATTTAGAAATAATAAATTGTCAGCAGGAAGTAAGTCCTTAAATGCAGTTGTTTAATTTTGAAACTTGGGATAAAACGTTGCTTAAAATCAAAGCAATGCTTTTATTTATTTTTAAAAAATATATTTTATTGATTTTTTTACAGAGAGGAAGAGAGAGGGATAGAGAGTTAGAAACATCGATGAGAGAGAATCATCAATCAGCTACCTCTTGCACCACCCCCACCGGGGGGATGTGCCTGCAACCAAGGTGCATGCCCTTGACCGGAATCGAACCCGGGACCTTTCAGTCTGGAGGCCGACACTTTATCCACTGAGCCAAACTGGTCTCGGCCAAAGCAATGCTTTTAGATCTTCAGGTATTTTAAACTTAAAGACAAGAGGGAGGAACTGGGAACAAGTGATGAAAATAAAAGGGCCAGAAGTTGGCATATCTCAGCAAGAGTTAATGATAGTAATATTCATAATTTGTCATTATGAAATTAGGCAGTTGTAGCTCTGAGCTTTTCATGGAGTGGTAAAATAGTTACTTTTGTAAGGTATTTTTTTTGGTGGTTAATCCTCACCTGAGGATTTTTTTTTCTTGATTTTTAGAGATCGTGGGAGGGAGACAGAGTTAGACAATTGATTGGTTGCTTCTCACATGAGGCCCCTCAGGGCTTATATGAATTGGACCTGTGGACCTTTAGTTCATGGGCTGACTATCCACTGAGCCAAACTGGCTAGGATGAAAATCGTTACCTTTTAAAATGTTTAATACACTGGAAACTACCTTAGTATTTGAAAAGTGAAATTATCTTCCAAGAACTTTTAAACTAAGACATAAGGATATTCATTTATGCTAGTGGGCTTCCAGGCTAATTGGAGGCTATCCTGTCAAAAGCAGGGCAAATTTCCTTTTATCTGCAATGAAGTAAAGTACCAGGATTTTGGCAGAAGGGGGGTGCTTATCATTTTTTTTTTTTTTCCCCTAACAGTTGAAAGAATTCCTGTATATTCTTTTTGGCTCATCACCATTTATTTTGATTTTGTTAAATAAATTTATATTGTGTATGTATTTTTGCAGGCATCCGGCCCTTTCACCCTCTAAATGTAGTGATTGCTCATTACTGGAAACATTCTTAGAGAATCACAGTACAGTTAAAAATCAGAGAAAACTTACTATGTAATCACAGTTCATTTTGATACTTATCCCAGATTTTACCAGTAGGATTTCCAAACTGGTTCCTCTGCACTTTTGGTAGGTATTGCATCAATTGAGCACTTAACATACTTTAGTTCAAAAAGTCTGGAGGCTTCTCTTAGACTTTTTCTGTCCCAGCTGTAATTGGCTATTTCTCCAAAGATCTCTGGAAACCTTGAAGGGGAATTGTAGTTATAATGCAAGTCTGTGTGCTGGGTGTGCTTATTTCTGGGATGTCCTTGTATCAACAGACTTAGGAAACATCAGAAACTAAGTACACACTAGACACTCCAAAAATAATGCAACACAATGGGATTCCTAACCTTGCCTGAGTCCATATTTATAACTGCCTTCATCCAGGTGGTGAGTAGCTGATCTTTTAGACTTACCTTGTAGGCCCTAAACAAATGATTGATATATTTAATGGACATTGGAATAAAATAGTTATTATATTGCAAAATAGAATGGTTAAATAGCCTTTAGAGTCCATTTGTGTTTATTCAGGCTCAGTGTTTTGGTAAGTTGTGAAAGATTTGGTTAGCACTGAGGACATGCTAGTATTTGCAGAATACTTGAGTCTTTAATAAGTGCATTCTAACAAAATCTTGAGTTTGTG